GTTACGGTGGCCAATTTACCATTTCAACTTTGTTCATATATCCAAATTATTTAGACACTAAATGCACCATTTCAAATGAGGATGACTTTTGATGCTAAATATATTTATTAGGTACTTTATTTTTATTATTGGTGATTATTTAATTGCAAATCCACATCATTCTTCAAATTTCCAAGATCTAAAACATATGGTTCATTGCCTCAAGGACTGACTCTAAAACAAGATGGCGCTACAACCTTTTCGGGACGAGCAGTTACACTATTTCAAATTCGCCTCCATTGTACTGAATGAGTTCCCAAAGGCCTTACGTAAGCCGTTCAAGTTCATGTGGGACAACAGATTGACACATCATCCCGGTCACCAATTGTGGGATGACTCCACTACAGTTAGAAATTTATTTCTCGCTTTAGAGGGTGGCCCTGGCAAAACCAGAGTTCCCACAAATGTCTCCTATGAAGAATGGGATTGTACCGCCCTGTTCCAGGCCACCGTCTACGCCAAGTCTTTTGCTTTGCCAGACAGTACAGGTCATCACAAGACGCTAAATGAGCTGTTCATTAAACCTCGAAAACTGGCTCAGGGAGTGTTCCATGCTTCGGTGACGAGCTCGAGCGGAAACAATGAAGAAACTTTTGCTCTTGCGATTGATCAGCTTCGACTCTTAAGAAACTCGCTTTGTCACTCGAACACCTCTGAAATTGTTAAAGCCACCTTTGACCAGTACGTACAGTACGCTAAAGACGCATTCAATGCTCTTGGTGTCAAGACGGACCCTATTGATGCCATTGGTGGTTTAAAAGAGTCAGAATTACCAACAAATGAGGTTCGTAAACTAGAAGAACGTATCAGACAGGAATCTCGGGCTATTGTAAGTTTTCTACGAGAACAGATAAGTTTTCTACAAGAACAGATAAGTTTTCTACAACAACAGAATCAATTTCAACACCAACATATCAGTTTTCTAGAACAACGTGTGAGCTTGGATTTGAAAGCCTTGATGAGTCACAGTATGGAAAAATTGCCAACTAAAGACGAAATGCTAAATATGCTGGCACAAGTGGCCACTTCTAAACAGGAGCCAGGTAAACATATATTCAGTTTCGACTTAAAATGTTTGATGCGTGTGGTTTTGGTTAAGGTTAATTCGTTGGACTCTTTTCATGATTTAATCGGTTTTTCCTTAATTTAAAAGCCTGTGCATCCTATCGAAAAGGTTTGCGACAAAACTGCTTTCATGTCCGGACGAAAGTTGTAGTAACAGGTTTTAACCGTAAAATTAAATGCTAATCCCTGTGCTTTTAAAAACTAAACTAGTCACTTTTTTTCAGAGGACTATAGAGCTTCAGATCAAAAGACTGCTGGGAGATAATTGGAAATCTTAAAACCATTTAAAAATGCGTTGCACTATTTGTGCCCAGTTCTCAAAGTAAAATATCGTGAAAGACCTTTTCTTTGTTTTTTTCTTCTTTATTTGCCTGATAATTAACCACTGTCTACCCAGTGAATAACTGATATTCAGGGGGGATTATCAACCTAATCATCAATAGTTATTTATTGAGAAAGCAACATGTTCCTCGGAGTGTTTGTTCCGTGTTATTTATGAAATATTCGTTAAATTGGAATCAGCCATAAGCCAACTACATGGAGAACATCAATTAAGCTTTTGAAAATAAGTATCCCTGAAGTGCTTAGCGTTGTAAGCCGTAATAGAGCCTTATTTTGGTTTATAATGTAAACAGATGAGTATCTGAAAATCATAAATCCAACTAAATATACTTCTTCACTGTATACAGATGTTGCTCACCAGGACAGGAAACGGAAAGAAAACGCTAGCTCACCACGAGGCGTCTGGAGGAAAGAAATTTCAACTGTGGTTTCATATCTCAAGTCAAGTGACTTTGTCTCAGCTCTTCAGTCTGCACAACGTTCAACAGACACCACACGAAAGCTTTTTGGAGAAGAGGACCCTAGCACAGCTAACATGTATTTGTTACTCGGGAGCCTACAAAGGCACGAAGGTAACTTTACATCAGCTCTTCACTCTTCCCAGCTTGCACTTTACATAACTCGAAAGTTGTTCGGCGAAGCACATTCAGACACAGCCCAAAGCTACCTTTCTCTTGCGCTCGCACAACATTCTTTAGGCGATTATGATTCAGCACTTGAGTCTGCCAAGTGTGCCCTGGACATCAGACGACAGTTATTCGGCGA